CAACTTGTTTGGGGGGGGTGAGTGAGCGAGCGACATACCTGAAGAGCATTGGGGGCGAGTTGCACACGAAACGTACCTGGAGAGTGGTGGGGTGAGTTGCGCGCGACATACCTGAAGAACTGGGAGGGATGCAGGGAGAGCGAGGTGTACATCGTATTTCAGGACTGGGCGGGAGACGCGCAATTTCTGAGAGATTATTATTCATTTGCAGGCATCCAAGAGTCTCTATGCATTTGTAGGATACTCCCGCAACTTCTGGGAGACTTGTGATGTCTGTGAAATTGTACAACAACAATGAATATTTTTACAGTGCTGTGACTCTGACCGTTCAGCTCAAAGAACCACAGGCAAATAGTTGAATTATCAGCAGCTATTCAATGTCAGTATTTTCAACAATGTTCAGTGTTTGAATTATCAATGTTGATTTATAATTTAATTCAATGCTGAATATTCAACCTCAACCGAAATGATGGCTCTGACAGAATTACAGTGAATCAATGCCACTCTAATATCTGGGTACTTCACTCCACTATTTATTTTTTGGCAAATTTTTACTTTTACTCCTCACATTTTTACACAAATATGTGTACCCTCTACTCCTGACACTTCTAAATCACGCTCGTTACTTTGGTCTACATGTGTTGGGTGGTGTGATCTATATTGTTTCTCGTCATTGCGGAATATGAATGCATTTCTGATGCAGTCAATCTCTGTTTCCTCATTGAGTGGCTGCGTGCTGCACTGCACAGCCTTCTCAGCCAAGGCTATCGCGCACCGTACGTGGGCTAGATTATGCAGATCACTCAAAGAAAGGCAAGTATGACTTAGAGGTGGGATCAAGTCATTGTTTGGCAAGTCACAAGTTAGTCTCAATTCATTGCCCTCAAGTCCAGAGTCAAGTTCCAAGTCAAAGGCAACAAGTCTCAAGTCAAGTGCAAAGCCCTACAGTTTAATTTGAGTCTTTTCAAGTCTTTTAACAAAAAAATAAAATATATACAGATTATGTATGGTTAAGATCTGTATTAATTAAACAAACCTTTTTTTGTGAAAGAACATTGCTCAGATATATAAAAATACAAATGTAATTTTCTGAAAAAGTGCTGAACAGTGCTGCGTCTCGTCTCCACAACATAATGCACAAGAACAAGTTCCACCACAATAGAGTCCATTTTGCCTCACATCACACAGAAATTGCAGGTTTTCTGCTGTCTAATTCAAGTTGTGCTATGTTATGACTTCGGTGATCAACTTGTGATTAAGCAAAATTACATAAACGTGAATCAGCTACGTCAGTGGCACCAATCAATCCACAATAATTTACTGGCTGCTATTTATTTATTGAAATATTGTGCATTTACGCAAGTACATTTAAATGAATAATGTCAACAGCAAAATCATATCAGGGTGGCCCCAGGGGTGGCTAGAGTTTACACAGGAGTAACACCCCTTGTAAAGAGGTTTACACCACTAGAAGGCACCCCTGGAATAGATGTTGGATGTAAAGAATACATTTTATTTTAAAAACATTTAAACAAAAACTAACGCAAGCAGAAATGTAACTGTGATAAAAATAAGGAAACACTTGATAAGGTATTATAGCCTACTGTACTATTCACTCTTCAAATAAATCTCACTATCAATCTCATTTTATCATGGCAACTAAAATGAAGTGAACTAGTGTCTGCTGGCTTCCACTTTGCTGATGAGATTGTGGAGGACATTTTCCATGTCATCCTCTTCATTTTGAGGAAAGCTGTTCCACAGGGCCCCTGAACACGTATACTGGTATGTACTTTGTTTTAAACAGTAGCCTCCTACAGTAAAGAACTTCAATTGATCAGTTGTGGTAATACTGTAGTTGCTATGGTAACACAAGTGTAATATAAAAAAATTAGCCAGTGCTGCATTACTTTACAATATAGGGTATTTTATACTACAATTCACCACACTTTACTGTAGTAAAACTACACTTTGTATTTTATTTTATCTGTTCACTAAATTAATAATATAGTAATCATATTAGTTAATACTACTGTATGCTGAAGCATTCATTAACAATTTGTAAATAATACTAGCCTAAAACATACAGTAGGCAGTATAACACTCAAAAACACTAGAATTTATTATAGAATTTACCTGAACCTTTTAATTTTTCGTGTATTGTTAATAAATAGTGTAGCTATAAAAGACCATATCAACATTCCTGAAATAACCCTTTCTAAGCCCCACCCTCCTTAGTTACTGTTGCTACGCCTGTCAAGCTTTCGTGCCTGGCACATCTATTACAGTGTGTATGCGCTGGTGTCAGACATTCCCAGGTGTATAATTAGTCATTTTTGGCAAACAGGTGAGATATTTGAGAAAGCCGGACAAAAAAGGACTGCAGTATACATTACAGGGGTATATTCACAACATAATAGCAACCAATTAGAGAATAACTTAATCAACATTGAAGCTAAAGCCTAGCCGCCTCATACGCTGACCATTCAACAGCTCAGTTCATGCACAGCAGGAGAGGTGAAATTTAAAATTACCCAATAACATAATAAGAAACTGATGGATTTGTGCCGAAAATCAGCATCATTGACCCATAACAGTGTACAGTACCTATTACTGTCAGCATGTTTGAGTGCTCTTTATCCAGTTTTTATTCTAATTTACAGATAAGTGGAAGAAAAAAATATTGAAATGCAAATCAAAGTATAAATAGCAGAAGTAAACAAAGATTTTCCCTACCAGCAAATATTATTATATAAAAATATTAGTATATATAAATATATAATGATTGCAAGTGCTCAGTTTGCGATCACATCTCGGTTTTTAAACAGATGGAAATATAATTGCTGTTAGAATGACTATTATGGTGAGGGTTTAAATGGAGCAGTGCTCATAATAGAGTGTAAAAAAGAAAAAGACAGCTGGGAAACATTACCTGCTTTGTTTTTCGTAGGGAACACAGTTTACATCTGTTTAGGGTTAGTGGTGTGTGAGTTACTGCTGTCTATCACTGAATGTGTCAGGAATATTAAAACAACACCAACTTATCTCCGCTCCTTTAGTGCGCTTCACACAACTTGATCCACACTGGCATTTCTCCTCTTGGGTTTTGAAAAGGGAAAAAATCCCACCACCCTGTCCAGACATTAAGGATAACGAGTGTAAGATTTGCAAAATCCAATTGCGCAACACTTTGGCTTGTTTCCCTCACTCGAAAGCTTGACAGAGCTCCTGCGTGTAGCTACGGTTGCTAAGCCGCAATTGGTGTGTGGCGGTTTTTGGGTGTGGCTTAGCGAAGGGTCAATTTAACAGGAGGATCTCTGGAGAGCAAAAACACAAAAGGTATGAGGCAAGCAAACGCAGAGAGACTGAATTCACGCGCGAGAGATCGAATGTACGAGTGTGAGAGAGGCTGAGTATTGGCTCGTTCTCTCTGCGTTTGCTTGAATTTTGTCCACTCCGGCCCCTCATAGTAGTCACGTTGGACGCTGTTAATTCAAAACAATCTACCGTGCTTTGATTAGATGTCATGCCGAATGCGCGCATGCTCTCTGTCACACACACACACACGCACACATAAACAGAGAGAGAGAGAGAGAGAGGTCCATGTCAACATACTTTTCATCTTCCATCTTCTTTTTATGGGATGCAGCAAGTCTTTACAAGTCAATAGGGGCAAGTCCAAGTCAAAGTCACGAGTCATTTATGTTCAAGTCAAAGTCACGAGTCATTTATGTTCAAGTCCAAGTCGAGTTGCAAGTCTTTTTATATTTTGGAAAGTCGAGTCTAAAGTCATCAATATCATGACTCGAGTCCGAGTCCAAGTCCAAGTCACATGACTCGAGTCCACACCTTTGGCATGACCTCAAAGACGTGACAGAGAGAGTCGGGGAGTTTAACATGACTGATGTTGACCTGTTTACACGGTAATAAGACACCTTTTGCTTCATCATGTGACCGTTCACTGGCTCACCTAGCAATGACCCAGAAGAACAAGCACCTGTCAACAACCCAGTGGAAAACTCATCTGTCGATAACTCAGCAGAATGCTTACCTGTCGATAACCCAGAGGAATGTTTACCTGTCGATAATGCATCAGAATGATCAGCTGTTGTCGTTGCCACCTGTTGATGACCTGGACAAACCCTAACCTCTCAAAACCAGTTTAACGAATGCTCACTTGTTGATTACCCAGTGAATGCTCACCTGACGATTACCCAGAGGAACGCTCGCCTGTCAATAACCCAGAGGAACGCTCACCTGTCAAAAACCCAGAGGAACGCTCGCCTGTCAATAACCCAGAGGAACGCTCACCTGTCAAAAACCCAGAGGACCGCTCACCTGTCAAAAACCCAGAGGACCGCTCACCTGTCAATAACCCAGAGAAACGCTCACCTGTCAATAACCATGAGGAACGCTCACCTGTCAATAACCCAGAGGAACGCTTACCTGTCAATAACCCAGAGGAACGCTCACCTGTCAATAACACAGAGGAACGCTCACCTGTCAATAACCCAGAGGAACGCTCACCTGTCAATAACCATGAGGAACGCTCACCTGTCAATAACCCAGAGGAACGCTCACCTGTCAATAACCCAGAGGAACGCTTACCTGTCAATAACCCAGAGGAACGCTCACCTGTCAAAAACCCAGAGGACTGCTCACCTGTCAATAACACAGAGGAACGCTCACCTGTCAAAAACCCAGAGGACCGCTCACCTGTCAATAACCCAGAGGAACGCTCACCTGTCAAAAACCCAGAGGAACGCTCACCTGTTGATCACCCATCAGAATGCTCAGTTTTTGTCAGTGACACCTGTTGATGAACCGGACAAACTCTCACCTGTCAGTACCACAATTTAATGAATGCTCTACTGACAATTACCCAGTGGAACACTCACCTCTCAATAACCCAGCGGAACGCTTACCTGATGATAACCCAACGGAAGGTTTACCTGTCAATAATCCAGTGGAACGCTCACTTGACGATTACCCAGAGGAACACTCACCTGACGATTACCCAGCAGAACGCTTACCTAATGATAACCCAACAGAAAGTTCACCTTTCAATAATCCAGAGCAACGCTCACCTGACGATTACCCAGAGGAACGCTCACCTGACGATTACCCAGCAGAGCGCTTAAGTAATGATAACCCAACAGAAAGTTCACACTGTCAATAACCCAGTGGAATGAATGCTTGTCAATAACCTAGAGGAACGTTGACCTGTCAATAAACCAGAGGAACGCTCACCTGTTGATCACCCATCAGAATGCTCAGCTTTTGTCAGTGACACCTGTTGATGACCCAGACAAACTCTCACCTGTGAGTACCACAATTTAACGAATGTTCTGACAATTACCCAGTGGAACGCTTACCTCTCAATTACCCAGCAGAACGCTTGCCTAATGATAACCCAACGGAAGGTTCACCTGTCAATAATCCATTGGAACGCTCACCTGACGATTACCCAAAGGAACACTCACCTGATGATTACCCAGTGGAACGCTCACCTGACGATCACCCAGAGGAACACTCACCTGACGATTACCCAGATGAACACTCACCTGAAGATTACCCAGATGAACACTCACCTGATAATTACTCAGTGGAATGCTCACCTGATGAATTACCCAGTGGAACGCTCACCTGACGATTACCCAGAGGAACGCTCACCTGACGATTACCCAGAGGAACGCTCACCTGACGATTACCCAGTGGAACGCTCACCTGACGATTACCCAGTGGAACGCTCACCTGATAATTACTCGGTGGAACGCTCACCTGACGATTACCCAGTGGAACACTCACCTGACGATTACCCAGTGGAACACTCACCTGACGATTACTCGGTGGAACGCTCACCTGATGATTACCCAGTGGAACGCTCACCTGACGATTACCCAGTGGAACGCTCACCTGACGATTACCCAGTGGAACGCTCACCTGACGATTACCCAGTGGAACACTCACCTGATGATTACCCGGTGGAACACTCACCTGATGATTACCCAGTGGAACACTCACCTGATGATTACCCAGTGGAACACTCACCTGATGATTACCCGGTGGAACACTCACCTGACGATTACTCGGTGGAACGCTCACCTGATGATTACCCAGTGGAACGCTCACCTGATGATTACCCAGTGGAACGCTCACCTGATGATTACCCAGTGGAACGCTCACCTGATGATTACCCAGTGGAACACTCACCTGATGATTACCCAGTGGAACGCTCACCTGATGATTACCCAGTGGAACACTCACCTGACGATTACCCAGTGAAACGCTTACCTGATGATTACCCAGTGGAACACTCGCCTGACGATTACTCGGTGGAACGCTCACCTGACGATTACCCAGTGGAACGCTCACCTGATGATTACCCAGTGGAACGCTCACCTGACGATTACCCAGTGGAACGCTCACCTGTCAATAACCCAGAGGAATGCTTACCTACAGATAAACCCAGTGTAAGGCTCACATGTAGATTACTGAATGGAACGCTCACCTGTCAATAACCCAGTGGAATGAATACTTGTCAATAACCAAGTGGATCACTCAGCTGTTGATAACCAAGTGGAACGCTCATCTGTCCTCTGGTTTACTCGTGTAGTTCACCCGCATGTGTGAGTTGTGTGTGCATTCACTGGCGCCATTTTGAATGCATGTACCTGTAAAGACACACAGAGAGAAAGAAGATGGACAGTTTAACAAGTATAATCTTCCATATTACTGCAATGGTGTGTGTGTGTGTGTGTGTGTGTCACATTGGGCTTCCTGTGATGTAGATCATGTTGATATTCTGTATCGCTCCACCATACTGGACTTCAGTGTTCTGCATCTTCAGGTTTCTCCAGTGTGGATCTTCAGACTAATGGCGAATCTCCCACATGGATGCGGAAAGACCTGGAGGTTAAGACACACTCATCATCAATTCTCCTCAGACAAAAAAAGGACATTTGTTGACAGAGACGGATTCTTTAACTGTATGGGTTATTCAGCAACACGACTGATGCAGTTTAGCATTGAGAAAGAGCTGTCAGGTGAGTAACACACAGCATCAGTCAGGTCACGTTCATTAGTGTTTAACTTCAGTACACAGATGGAGATTACTGAGGGCAGGTCTGGGGATGCACACAGGGTATGTTCATAACTACACACGTCATCATAGCTGCTGAGTTTATCTGGTTATTAAAAAACTAAAGACATAAAGAAACGCTCAAACTGATGGTCAGACGTACCTTCTGCCGCCGCCGTCACTGCGCTGTATAATGTGCTTTCCTGATACAGTCGGGTCCAGCCAACGTTGACAGCCGCTTCAGACATGTTGATTAAAGGTCTTTATATAATGGATTAAATAAATAACACAAAACATAGAAATTTTAATTACAAATCAGAGTTATTCTGCCATTAGAGGAAGCTCGCAGTGTGGAGGGCTGTACAATAGTGTTGAGTAGTATAGATCTGTGTTTTACAGACACTTTTATTCTCAAAATACACTGCAGGTTTCAGCTGATCGCGTCCACATCAGCCCATAAACCACACAAAGATTTATTAAACCCAGAGGGAAATCAAGTTTATTTCAACAGCTCAATTAAGAATACATAAAATGAAAAATAAACAATTTTACACAATGAACTCATTATTTAAAGAAGTTTTTTTTTTTTATATAGCCACAGGTATGCACAGATATTGGTGTCGCTCTGTGGAGCACCTAGCTAATATCAGTGTTTAGATGGACACACTCCTGTGTTTATCAGGACATTATAAAGTGTGTGTGGTGTTGTCTGAGATTTGACAACATCCTTCTTTCTGACACCAGCGTCAGATAATCAAGTTCAACCCCCAAAACAGAGACAAAACCTGCGCCTCATAAAACACCTCCAGCACAGTAGGACAGATGTTGAAGGACTTTATTAAACCAGCTGGGTTTAATCATATAGTCAGACGCAGCCGGTTTGTTTTCCAGGTTATGCTCATATATGCAGAGGGAAGAGATGGAGAGGAATGTGTGTAAAACAAGCAAATAATACAGTGCTGAGTGGAGGATTTAAATATATAGATGAACTGAAACTGAACAGAGGGAAGATCACAATTAACGTCTATAAACCTCATTTCTGCTTCAGCTCTTTGGCAGAGAAAGATCCACAGCAAAGACCATCACATCACACTTTACCACTTCAGGATAGAAAACAGAACCAGAGTTTCAGGACTGAGAGAAAAGTAGAGACCATGGAGATCAGACAATGAGGAAAATACTGCTAATGAAGCTGATGCAGAACATTAGAGTCTTTGCATTTGCAGTCAACGCTATAGATATCAAGCAAGGAATCAGGCAAGGAGTCAGAGTTTCCAGAAGCATACTGAAAATACAATGATGAAGTGTGCTAAAACAAATAAAAAAAGGATAAGTCATATTTAAGGAGATACTGGAGTCATGTACACACACTGTACACACACACACACATACACACACACAAAATAATGATTTATTAAATGCGGCATTTCAGAAATGTCATTTCTCTCTTGCAACTAAGAGCTCTGCCTGCAAGGCAACTTCACATCATCTTATCACGAGTCAGCAAAACATGAGAAGTACATAATACAACCTGGCATAAAAGGGGAAATTCCCAAAATACTGTTAGACCAGGCAGAGATTGTACAACAGCAGAGACGAGGTGTAAAATTTAGGAAAAGAAAAATGAAATGTTACAGCTGGAAATGAAGAACACAATCAGAGCAGGGTTATGATGATCCAGCTTTATGACTGAAACATGAAAGCAGAAATAAACAGAGCGAGTCTATCAGGCATCTCAGAGATCAATGAGCGATTAATGAAGACACTTAGAAAATCAGGTGTAAATGACAGATACAGAGGGTATCTGGTCAGAGTTATTTCTAAGTCACTTTTGCCTTGTAGATTTGTCAAAAACACTTTACAGATGAACATAGAAAACAGAAGGAAATAATTATTCTAAAATATGTTACTGTAAACAGAAACGGCATCATGTGTAAATCAATAATGAGAATTTGTGAATCAGTTTAGGATGGTGGTGTGAAACTGTACAGGGCTGTACACGTCAGGGAAAAGATGAAGGCAAGAAACATTAAATATAATGAGTGTTTGGTTGGTAGTGAATGGCAATGTGTGTGTGACAGACGATCTCAGTATTAGATTATAGATGTGTGGTGGTGGCGCACACAGTGCTTCAGACACTAGAACAGCAGACACTGAGCTTATTTACAGGAGTTTCACAACAACCCAGCAGAGACAAAAAAATCAGACCAACAAACCAAACCAAACCTCATCAACGAGCATACAGAGTGTGTGTTCAACATGTGTACCACACGCAAACACACTGCACATATCTGAACACAAGCATAGCAGGAATTATCAGAGTCACAGGATCATGTGTTCATCCAGAATCAGAAATCAGCATTGAGGGAAAAAGAGTCAGTGAATGCAGAGAAACACCTGCGTCATCATTATACAGACTCTGCTGCTGTGTGAAAACAGGATACAAATAAAATATATGTAGTAAATTACACACCGAGGGCAGTAAACAGAAGACAGAGAAGGGGATTCAGCTTCTCAATATCTGTATTAATGCTAACCCATTTCTGAAAAAGAGGGAACAACTCAAAGGTAAACACACACATGGTCACATATTAAAATAACTGAGGCAGATTTCCAGGATTATAGAGGGAGCAGTTGACTTTTAATACTCATATCCAAAACGGATTAGATAAATGTAAAAAGGGATGAATGTAATGGGGTGAAGCCATCATTTAACAGATCAGGAGATCAGCAATAGCTTACAGCAGTTCAATATACAGCTCTGCTTCTCAAACCGGCCTTAAACAATGAAAACTATTGAAAACACACTGTAGGATCATTTCTGGAGCTTTCCAGACATCTTTATTTTGGCATGTTGTGCTAACAGAAAGAGAAAGCAGAGTATTTAGTGAAAGAGACTCTAAAGGAGTCAGATGTGGGCTTCAGGATGTGTCTTCATACAAAATGAGGAAACACAAATGAAAGCTGTTATTGTGGACTGAAACACTCTCACGTATATTAGTGTAATGTCAACAACAAATATGCCAGCAGTTTCAGTCACTAAAGATTGGGGTGGGAAAACCCTTTCACTGTTAGATTGCAGAAAAGCAAAAAGCAAAAAGACAATGGTAACATAATGTTGCAGAAGAGATGAAACAGATTAGATCTCCCCGTCCCTCCAGTCCTCATTGTGTGAAACTAAGCTGCACTTCCCCCTCCAGTCCAGTAGGTGGCAGAATCTGCACCTTTACACTGTTTGCCAAACACCAGTAAACAGAAGAAGAAAGTTGTTGAAAACGCCTCATCTTAAACCCTTCAGAAACCCTGCTGTTTCCAGCTCTCAGATAAGACCAGTGTCTGATGATCTTGTGTAAATGATTGTCTGTGCAAATGATGTGGAGTTTTGTTGATTAGTCTTTAATGAGGTTATTGGTTTGTGGAGGCTTGTGTTTATACTGTAACTCTTATATTTGTCTGAGAACATGTTAAAGATGAAGCAGCATCTGTCTAGTGCAATATCACAGCTGAGCAAGAAGACAAGCACAAGAATAAAATCCCCACATCCTCTCCATCAGCTCATCTACAGATCAGATCAGTGAAGCGAGTGATCAGCTGTAACTCACGGCCTGTTTGTTGGCTGAGTGTTAGAGAAATGATGGCGAATACACCACAGCTCTGTGTTTAATCTGTCTCAGATACCATCAAGCAGATCTATAATAGTGGAGGAACCCTTTCTGCTTACCTGGTGATGCTGACCGGCCGAGAGGAGCAGGAGAGAACACACGGACAGGTGAACCGCTGAGCAAACACTGGAGGAGAAACACACAGGTGGGTGAAACAGCAGGTAGAGCTCTTCTTCTTGTCTTATTGGCGGTTTGCATTCTTAAACAGAGCATTACCGCCCCCTACTGTGAGTTGTGGGTCAGAGACTGAATTTCCTTTTCCTCTGGACTCTTCAAGGCAGAGTTCTGATCTGACTGTGTGCTTTCAGAGAGGCTGTGATTGCGGTGCAGGTCAGTGTAATCCTGCAGAGTGTACCTGCGGTGGAGTGTGATGCTGAGCATGGAAACCCTACAGGTGAAACACACCTCTGCTTTGCTTTAATCTGGATATCTTGTGTTGAGTGATTTCATTAATGAAGGAGTCTTTGCTTTCACAACACCTGAGTGAAGTATTCCTGTTCATGTTATCAGTCTTCCCTAATAGATCTTCGTCTGTCACTGGTGTTTTCTGTTGAGTTTATTCCCGGTCAGCTGTCATAGTAATGTCTTGATTAGCTGCTTCAGGTGTGTTGAATTAGAGTTTGCATGTAAACTGTTCTGTTCTGCTTCTGACTGACCTGTATTATGTGTGTTTCAGATGTAGAAATCCTGCTTCAGCTTGCTCTCCTCGCTTCATTTAACAGTAGTGGTGGGCAAAGTGACGCTTCATGAAACTGAAACAGTTGAAGCAAATGTGTCAAAGCTTTGAAACGTTTCGAAACTCTACAGTGACACCTAGGGGTAATTTTTTATACATTGCTCTGGAGCAGCTTCAGCAAAGAACAATTGAGCAAATTGAGGTATTAAAACCCACTTTGTACCTTTGAACCTACAAGTGTTATAGCAGAGCGGTCAGAGTTCCTGACTATTATGCAGGGAAACTGGGTTCGAATCCAGGCAAATGCAGGTATGTTGAAATGCTCTGTTCTTGTATTGTTTTGTTTCAACATTGGTCAGACATCAGAATAAACACTATTTGTGAATGAATTTGTCTTGTTTTGGTCATAAAACAGGGTTGTTGCTAGATCAGACATGGTTGTGGTCAGAAGTTGACAAGAATTTATACTATTAATGAAATTCCTCATTTATTGTATTTTAATACCGTCTACTCAAACGCTAAACCCAACCGTCACAGTACTGTAAAAATATGAATTATTGCTATACAGTGTTACACAAATGATGCTGTATTGATGGTGTATCCGCAGCTGTATCCTATCTAGACTACACCATAACACAGTAGCATTATTAAAATAGAGAAAATCCTGATTTTGGAGCATTTGTACAAAGCAGGATTCAAACCCAAAACCCATTTGAAGCACAGTAACAGCATGCACATGCACGGTCCACTAGGCTATATAAGACAGAAGTGTTTTAGACCCAGTCAGTCAAATGCAGATTCGCCAGGTCTCAGAACGGTTCTGAAATGATGTTAAAGAGCACAATCACAGAAGGAGAGAATGAGAAATAAACACATACAGCAACAGCCTCACACCAAAGCAACTGATTTAAACACCTCCACAAACAGCATCAGCAGCTCCACTGAAAAACATTTGATAATAAACAGCGCTTTTATTTCTTTATTGATTTTTTTTTCCAGTTTGACCTCACCATCCTGGAGATCAGAGGCTGCTTTAGTTGGGCTCTTGATCCTTTACTCTTCTATCTTATTGTATCTGAAACTCATCAGCTATGGCAACAAAGGCAATGAGAAGCTTTATGTAAATATTTGTTACAGATATAATTGCTAGTAATGTATAACTTAAATAAAACAATTGCAGGTTTATGTGACGTGGTTTGGAGCATTACGAAAGTTTCCCATGGAGAGTCAACAAACAAGAATTAATTAAAATTAATTAATATACTTTTATACGCAAAACCTTGAGAGCTCAAGAAGCACATTTAAAGATTCAGGACACCCTGGAGAACTTCTTTTATATATTAACAGATGTGTGTGTGTGTTGTGATAATTTTGAGCTTTTGTCATCTAATTTCAGCTTCCGGGTTTAAAATGATTTTTGGGGCGGATCGAAATTGGCGACGGAGCGCAGTACTGCAAGTGCAATGATGACGCGTCGGTTTCTCATTATTATTCATAGCGGAGTTTTCTTATCCTATGAGACGAGCCGGCTGCTTAATTATTCATGAGTGCACGTGCTTTCTGAAGGCAGACCTGCCAGTTTCAAGCAAGCTGTGAGATACGGTCCCACGGCACGCAGTAGCCGTTCATGAAGGCTCGTATGTGTTTGTTTCCATGATCCACGGGGTTTGTTGCATGTTGTTTTCCCCGCGATCTTGTCAGGGCTGATCATACAGCAAAGCTGTGTGTGTGCTGCCAGCATTTTTGTCAGGAGAGCAGTACGAGAATTGAAGAATGGCAGACGTTGACTTTTATCAGGAGTTCGTTCACATTCAGACACATCGCTGTGCTGCTGTGTTTGCCTAAATCCTCTATATTACCAGCAGGGCTAATGGTTAAAATAGACAGGTCAGGAGACCTGCTGCACTGAGTCTGCATTCAGATCTATATTTAGACCCGGGGATCGAGGGAGAATCCTCATTTATAGGGTTTACATGAACACACTTATCTTTATAATGATATAAATTGTGGTTATGTGTATATGAAATTACAAATAACAAATGTAGCAGGGAATTAAATTACTGTTTATTCCTTTGCATTTTAACTTTGGGAACTATAAACTCATGCGTCTTCTCACGATTTGTCTCATTTTGTGAGCTAACTGTCAACAACAGTTGTTCCCTCCCCTTCTCCCCTGCTGGCCACGCCCACTCCTGCCCTGTGCTCGCGGAGCTCCACGCGCATTAATCATGCATCTTTTGAAAAATTCATCAAAAGTCATTGAAGTAGACTTTAACCAAAAGTGGGGGGAGTCATGGCCCTTTAAGACACAAAGACATCAAGAATCAAGATATGAACCTCAACCATGGTTACTAAAATTAAAAAGCTGCATGATTCATCCATGCCACAATGCATGCTGGGTACATAGTACAAATATCCCAGCATGCATTGCAGCATAAATAAGCTGTGCCACTTAAAGTTCTCAAAATGTGTTTTGTGTTGTTCTGGATTGATTTTCTTTTGTTTGTCACCATTGTTGTAATTGAAAGGCTGATTCATGATAAGATGATCTTTTATGTGAAGCTTTGACCCAATCTACATTGTAAAAGCACTTTTTAAATAAAGGTGAATTGAATAACCTCATCACAATTATTCTTAAATGTCCTTTAGGCTTCTCATGCCATACAAATTGTGTGATCAACACAACAATTCATGGCTACCTAAATAAATCTAGTGTTAAAATAAGCAGCTGAAGAGGCCAACTAAAGCAGACGCTGACCTCCATCATGGTACCAACTGAACAACAGCAACTCCATGAAGAGTTTTGTCCACATGACAGAAAAGTCCGAGCTCAATAATGAGTGAAGCTCCACTCATTTAAGTTGTTTAATGATCTCTGCTGAGATCTTCAGAAAGAACATTTATATTGTCTAAATATTTAGCACTATTATTTTTATCTAGAGTTTAATTTTCAGTTGATGTCATCTTTGGTTTTGGCTGTAACTTGTGTTTTTCTTTCCTTTAGTGAATCTGCTTACTGGCAACCACAGCTGCCGGTCTTGTCCTGCAAAATCAAGAAGAAAAAAAAAAAACTAAACAAACAAACAAACACCATTGTGTGCCGATGAACTGAGAGTATTTGCAACATATAAGAGACT